CCACAGACTGTTTGTTCCGTTGGCTGTATAAACCGTCATGGTATGTGCGTTCACCAGTTGGATTACAGGACCCGTAGCTCTTGTTGCGACTTGATGCTTAATATAGAGCCCTCGCAGGCAGGTAAAAGGCGGAAAGAACAGGATGGGTGACTTGGATGACTGCCTAAACGAGGCACGGGAACAGGAGCCGCCCACAATACATGGGGCTTTACACCGATCCCCGGGAATATTTATCCATCTTGAAATGCATCGCAAGGCCACATATTTTAAGCGGGCGTTCCTAATCCCGTGTCTTATTGCTGTAAAACGTATCGAAACAGCCAAGGGAGATTGGGGTAGATATTCCTCGTCGGTCATTGGTCGGTGAACACCCTTCTCACAGCACTGCATTCTGCTGCCTTCGTACCTTTACTGCTTGGTCTTCGTACGCCTCAGGCCGACAGTCTTCAGGGTATAGTGGCCAAGGAAGCCACTTAATGAGCTAAGAAAAACGATGTAGTCTATACGCTGGACAGGTTGCTGTGACGTGGCTGTTTGTTTCTGTGTCAGAACAAAGCGTCTGCCAGGGAACGCGTGAGTAGCGATGTGTTGTTTACACGTTTGTGACTTGTCCGCGTCAGCATAAGGGGGCGACTGAATGAGTATTGGACGTGTGATTGGTCAGTTCCATGATTGAGTCGGGGGTGATTAATCACAGAAAGCCATGCATGACAAAGCACATAGGCCACCTGAGACGGGTCTCCGTTGTGGGTGCAGGCGTGACTCAGCTCTGGTCAAACCTGAGTGCTGGCCGGGCGTTAGCAGAGTACCAGATGAAACTGCACAACCTTGACGGCTTCGACTGAACATCCCGAATCCTTACGCTCTTGTGTGCAAGTATCATTATTCTGGGGCCAAGAAAGGCAAAGTTTTCTTTTATTCGGCACTTTGACGGTCGTTTCCAACTATGTTCAACGTGTAGCCTACATCAGAGTGAGCGCAGGCATGGTAAATTGTGCGTGAATCAGTTTATAGTGATATGCGAAGCATCTACCGTCCCCCCCTCTTCTCTCATCTCCCGGGCCCAGTGCCGTAACAGATTCGAGGGGACTGGAGGCGGGTGAGGGCAGAGGTGAAAGATTTAACACGAACCCGCACCCAAGTGGGTCACCACATCCTTCTTCCAGGTGTGGTGCATTTATGGATGCTCATTCTTAACACTTTGACTGCGACTTGCGCCATCTATGGTACACGCGTTGCACCACGGGCATATAGGCTATTTTGGGAGTCGCAGTCAAAGTGTTAATGATACCTGCCGTGGCGCTCATGTTGGTTTAGCGCATCTTCCCTCGCGGTCCACTCTAGGATGCGTTTCTCGTCTCATTAACTTACGCGATAGTTCGACCGTCGATTTCGACGGTATCCGCTACGAGCTCCAACAAGTTGAAGCACGCGGTGACTGGCCGATTATAGTGAAGGCAAACTAGCCAAGACACACTGGACCGACTGCGGTATCCGAGTTAATCCGCCAGCTGACAACCCTCCAAGCCAC